AATTCTCCTCCCCCCCAAAGTGTAAAAAAAAAATAAGAAAAAAATTTTTGAAAAAAAAAATGGGGGGGGTGGGGGGGAAGCATGCTGCTTGCTGTCCCTTGTGAATGTTTCTCTGCTTTGCTTTTTGGCTGCTTTGCTGGACTAGAAGAGGCTTTGACCTGGTCTAAGAGGACATCCAAAATTGTGTTGGGAGCGAGGACCTTCCTGGTGCATTTAATCTGGCCACCTTCCATCTTCTCTCCTGCAGGGACAAATCTGCCTTGGAAATGCAGAATAACCTCCCCTTGCGCGTGACCCATCCTCTCCCGTAGCCCTTCTGGGCGACAGAAGCCACTGTCTGCCCAGTTCACATGAGCACAAAGGAGCAGGTCATCCTGGAGCAGTTCTTGGCCATCCTGCCCCAGGAGATGCAGAGCTGGGTCAGGGAGGGCGGACCAGAGACCTGCGCCCAAGCGGTGGCCCTGGCCGAGGACTTCCTGTGGAGGCAGGAGGAGCCCCAGAGGCTGCTGGGAAGAAAAGGTGAGTCAGGTAACCGCCTGGAGTACACTCAGGAGGGGTCAGGTGACCTCCAGCCTTGTGATGACCATGGAAATGTATTGACTTAGCTTAAAAGTTTCTGTCTTGGTGTGGTGCTTTCTGTTACACAATCTTAACACAAAGTTATAGGTGTGTTTGGAAAACTCAACAACAAAAAAGAACAAATAGAAAACTTAAGGATGCCCACTGATGGTATAACGAGTTGGTCCCCGACCTGCAGAATTAAAGAACACCATCCAGGAAGGGTGGAGAAGATCTAAGAGACATGATCTCCATCTTCACGTATTTGAAGTGCTGTCCAATAGCTGACTAAATTGTCCTATATTGCTCCTGGCATGTATAAATCTTGCTTGTATTTGAACCTCTGCAGTTCACCTAAATTGAAGCACTTCTAAATAGGTATCAGTGTATTTAGCAAGATATTCTCCTCACCAAGCCTCTGAAAAGACAACAAGCCTGGCCTGAGCGAAGCAGGCCTTCCCTCGGGAACTGGCATTATAAAGATACACTGCTTCTGAACATGGAAGCTCCATCTAGCCACCAAGAGGCATATCCTCCTCTAGGAACTGGCCCTTTTTAAAGTCTCAGCTTTCCTGATGGATGGATCAGTTTCAAAAACAAATTTATAAGATGTGTCTTTTTCTTCAAAGACGTTTTCATGTCTAAACGCACAACTTTTCAGGATATTAATTAGTATACTTAAAACAAATGAAAGACAAGGCAAACAGGTCAACTAGATTATATATAGCATGACTGTATTTAGCATGACTAAAGTCAAACTTGCCAAGCTCTTATCCTTAAGCAGCTACTAAAAGGAGGATCTTGAAAGGTGTTCAGGATCTGCACCTTTTTACTTGAAATTTATGAAGATGTTACATGGTATGTTCAAATATTTATAAGCTTTCCAAATCGTGAGGGAAAAACTCCTATGACCGTTTTTGAATTTACACTCCACTAAGGGGTCTGCACGTCACTGCTTTGTTTTCAAGGAGGACACCATTGACACACCGTACTGAACGTTGGACACAAAAGCCGGGATCGTATGAAATACCGATGCCTGACATAGTAAATCAGACGGCAGCGTAAGCTCACGGCCTGCTTTGTCCAGCTTGGAAGGGCGAGGGCCAAGTTGCCACAACCCAACCAGCCCCCACTTTCCCGCCGCCATTTGGGACTGTGCAAGTGGAATCCTTTAAATATTCAAAAAAGGGTGAGCCCAAAATGTTTTGTTCACTTAAACCAGAGTTT